CTGCGGTTGCTGTAGTTGTTGATGTTTGATTATTATCTGTTGATTGACAAATTTCTAAAAATTTTACCTATATAATTTGCATTTCCACCATTATTAATAATATTTGTTAATAGTCATGCAATGCAACTGGATCATCAATTCGTTCACTATTACTTTGAAGTACTTCAAGTTTATAAAGCATCAGCATAACTCTATATAAAGTAAAATTTAATTAAATATATTCTTTACCGTCAACTGTATTTATCAATTGCATTAACTATAACACAATTAATTGGAACAATTGAATTTTCTTTTAAAGAATTATTTGTTATAAAAATTCAAATATATGTAATATTTCTTACATGAAAATATACTGTTCCTATCTGATAATATAAGACGATAACGTTTAGTAGTTGTTGATGGATCATCCGTTTTACTATCCTTTAAAAAAAGACTGAAAAAATCGTTGGTTCAACATATTAAATTAATCTGGAATAAATACAACATGCATTATTATTATTACATTGCAACGAAAAATTTTTTTAAAATTATTCAAAACAAAAACAAAAAAAAAGACTAAAATTCATTATGAATATTTTCAATTAAACGACGACCATATTCACTGAAATCAATGTCACTGATTGACATGCACGAGATTTTAATTGTAGTAACATCCTTAAGAGAAAAAGAAAATTATAATAACAGATGGCACATAAAGAATGATCGGTTTTTGTATTTTTTTTTATCAATTTTTAAACTTGACCAAAATCTTTATGAACAAGATCATTTTTATTAGTGAACGATTAAAATTATATCTACTAACGAAATATATTTCTTCATTAGAATATGTTTATGTTGTAAGTGAATAAAAGAAAGCAGGCGAACAAAAGAGCATAGACCAAAAGGTTAAGTATGCAAAGAAAATTATGCTGTGGTCACATGTATCTCAATATTGTCTGACGTCTTCAATTGTAGTTAAACCTAGTAAAATGTTATCGTATGAAAATTATCATGAAGTTATTCTCGCACATGCGCAATCTTACGATCATTGCTCTGGTCAAAGAATACGATCCATATGGTCTAACAACACCAATTTACAGTCACAAAAATTCTTAAATCTACGACGAGAAACCTTCATTTTTTTTCTCTCCTGGAATTAAACATTTTCGTATATGTTAATATTGATTTGTTAATTACTGAAACTATGTGACGTCTGTAATCTCGATAAGTCAATAGTGAAATATTTCTCAAAATATATTTAAAATTTTCGTCTTCATCTGATGATTTAATGTTTTCAGGTAGAACACTATTATCCATAAAATAGAATGGAATAAAGTTGAAAACTAAGATTATTATTATTATCTATAAAGTTCTTCATGACATATATCTTATGACATATTGTATTCCCGAATAAAACTTACTAAGTGATAAAGAGAAAAATATAAAAAACCGACCATTCATTATGAACAATCCTTTATATAGAATAAATTTCATATTTACATTAAATGTTTCTTCATTAATACGTAGACGAAAGTATTTTTCACGAAATGTATTTTTATTTAAATACGTTTGCATAAGTACTTCATCGTCCTAAAAAAAAGAAGAAAAGAAAACTCTACAGTGAACAAATCATTATAAGTCATAGCTGTGAAAAATCTCTTTTCTTTGAAAAAGGAACAGTGAACGAGATCCTAATCTAAGAGTTTTCTCGCGTACATTTTGTATTGCTCTCTCAATCCTTATATTATTCATTTAAATAACTTACATTTTCTTTTGCTTGAGCGAATTGTTCAGCTGTTATATTAT